CAAGAATGCAAATCATATGAAGGAGATTTGAGAAAGAAATGTGAAAAGCTTTGTTTGGAAATGGGTGGCGCATTCTAAAGACTTCCCTGTTAATCTGAGCAATTACTAGAGGCAACGGCAATAGGAAGGTGGCTCTGGGGCTGGGCCCTCTGTGATGCCTCTGTCAAAATTATTTAGCAGGTTCCACTTCACCCAAAGTGACACCTTTCTTGGGAGTTGAACAATAATGAGCCGTCAGTTGGCAGCAGATTAACGTGCTCGACCCGTAGGGGACAATAGCTGAAGCCGCCATTCCAAACCTGAACATGTTTCTGTCTTTGTGCACTTAATGCTGGCGGAGAAATGTTTTTAAGTCCCAAATACTGGCAACCTGAGATTTCCCTTCCCAGCCAAGGAGCTTGGGGGGAATATCGCTCTTGAATTCCCTCACTTTTCATTCTTGGATAGTCTTCAGTGATGTCCCAGATCCCCCCCCCATTAAGATGGCTGGAGTTTAAGGGCAGATTGTTCTGTGTAGCTTTCAGGAGATTTCATGTTTGACTTCTGGCAGAATAAGAGAGTTGGAAGGGATCTTGGAGGCCTTCTAGTCCAGTCCCCTGCTCAAGCAACCCTACATCATTTCAAGACAAATGGTTGTCCAATCTCTTCTTAAAAACTTCCAGTGTTGGACCACCTACAACTTCTGGAGTCAAGTCATTCCACTGATTAATTGTTTCAACTGTCAGGAATTTTCTCCTTAGTTCTAGGTTGGATCTCTTCTTGAATAATTTCCAGCCACTGCTTCTTGTCCTGCCTTCAGGTGCTTTGGAGAATAGGTTGGCCCGTTCTTCTTTGTGGCAACCCTTTAGATATTGGAGCATTGCTATCATGACAACCCCAGTCCTTCTTTTCATTAAACTAGACATACCCAGTTTCTAGAAGAGGCTCAGAAAAACCTCCTTTCTAGAAGTCAGCACCAAAGAATGATCAACATATGTCTTGCTTTATGAGAGTCTCAGGACAATGGTTAGAAGACACAAAATTATTTGTTTTGCTCACTCGCCTCTCACATTCCTTCTTATAAGTATACAAATAATTTCCTTCCTTCTCTCCCTCCTCCTTCCTTCCTTAGAAGCATAATCATTGTTCCTTTCTTCCTCCCTTTCCTATCTTTCTCCCTCCCCTCTCCCTCCCTCCTTCCTTCTCTAGAAACATAATCATTCTTCCTTCCTTCCCTCTCCGTCCCTCCTCCTTCCTTCCTCCCTAGAAGCATAATCATTCTTCCTTCCTTCCCCTCTCTCCATCCCTCCCTCCTTCCTTCCTTCCCTAGAAGCATAATCATTCTTCCTTCCTTCCTTCCTTCCTTCCTTCCTTCCTTCCTTCCTTCCTTCCTCCCTTCCCTCTCCATCCCTCCCTCCTTCCTTCCTTCCCTAGAAGCATAATCATTCTTCCTTCCTTCCTTCCTTCCTTCCTTCCTTCCTTCTTCTCCTTCCCTCTCTCCATCCCTCCCTCCTTCCTTCCTTCCCTAGAAGCATAATCATTCTTTCTTCCTTCCTTCCTTCCTCCCTTCCCTCTCTCCATCCCTCCCTCCTTCCTTCCTTCCCTAGAAGCATAATCATTCTTCCTTCCTACCTACCTACTCCTTCCTTCCTAGAAGCATAATCCTTCCTTCCTTCCTTCCTTTTCTCCCTAGAAGCATAATTCTTCCTTCCTTCCTTCCTTACCTTCCCTAGAAGCATAATCCATCCTTCCTTCCTTCCTTTTTTCCCCTAGAAACATAATCTTTCTTCCTTCCTTCCTTCCTTCCTCCCTTCCCTCTCTCCATCCCTCCCTCCTTCCTTCCTTCCCTAGAAGCATAATCATTCTTCCTTCCTACCTACCTACCTTCCTTCCCTAGAAGCATAATCCTTCCTTCTTCCTTCCTTCCTTCCTTCCTTCCTTCCTTTTCTCCCTAGAAGCATAATCTTCCTTCCTTCCTTCCTTCCTTCCTTCCTTCCTTCCTTCCTTCCTTCCTACCTACCTACCTACCTACCTACCTACCTACCTACCTACCTTTCTTCCCTAGAAGCATAATCCATCCTTCCTTCCTTCCTTTTTTTCCCTAGAAACATAATCTTTCTTCCTTCCTTCCTTCTTCCTTCCTTTCCTTCTTTCCTTCCTTCCCTAGAAGTATAATAATTCTTCCTTCCTTCCTTCCCAGTGAAGCCTCTTTCTCCACCATTTTGCAATTAACAGCAGGAAAAATGGAAAATCTGAAGATTGCTTCTTGTACTTTCTTGTTCTTCCCTATTGTCCAGTTGATTAACTGATAAGATAACGATCTGGGAAGAAGCAGATTAAAATGTATAATGCATGCTGAACCTTCAGCGAAATGTTTAGGCGCAGGATTTAATAGACTTACAAGGAATCTCATTCAGAAGGCAATGCATATTATTAAGTGGTAGGCAGAAAAGAGCCATGCATCCCAGGTCCCCATTGAAGCTGATGAAAGAAAATTTGCTTTTGATTTATTTCTCCATAGAAGAACTTCAATGAAACTCTCATAAGCAGACGGATGTTATAGCAGTCATTTAGGGATAAGGCAGCCTAGGAAAAATTATTCTTTCTAGCAATCTAAAACTGCCCGGCCTCTGGTGCTTCTGTTAAATCCCGAAGGAAAATATCAAGATATGGTTTCCTGTCATGGGACTTGTTAAAATTGGAATGAATGAAAAGCCAAGGAGGCTTCAATTTGATGGGAAGAGACGTGGTAACAGTCGTGGGTTTCAATTTTTTTTACTACCAGCTCTGTGAGCGTGGCTTGGTGGGCGTGGCATGACTTGGTGGGCGTGGCAGGGGAAGGATACTGTAAAATCTCCATTCCCACCCCACTCCAGGGGAAGGTTACTGCAAAATCCCCATTTCCTCCCGATCGGCTAGGACTTGGGAGGCAGAGAATAGATGGGGGTGGGGCCAGTTAGAATTTTTACTACCGGTTCTCTGAACTACTCAAAATTTCCACTACCGGTTCTCCAGAACTGGTCAGAACCTGCTGAAACCCACCTTTGTGTGGCAAGAAGTAACAATCATGACGACGGTAGTAGCCCTATCCACCTTGTCCAATATTTAAGGGAGCTCAAAAACACCATCAAGAGAATGGAGAAGACATACTTAAGTCCCCAGAGTATTAAGTAGGAAAATGGACACTTCTGTTGCTGAAATGGCACAATATTAGCATTCACTGGTTTGCTTCGACATGTGGCATGTGGCAGCTCTGCTACATTTTGGGGACATCTGGCTCATTGTGTCCTTGAAGAACTGCCAAGATTTGTTTTATTCTGCAGGCAGCTTTGGGTTTGGGGCATTCTTCTTCTGTCTTCTACTCTAATCATCTGGGCAATAGTAGGAAGATGGGTAAGAGTCAGCTAGGAGTAAAGGTTGGATCCATGATCATCAAGGACCAGGGCTGCAGTTGGCTTTGGCTGTGTTCTCAAAAGAAGCGCTCCCATGAGTAAGTTACACTTCAGTTGAACTGAATCGTATGGTTCAGGCATTCATGGAACTCCAGAAGTTACTCATATAAGCTGAGTTTGCACAATACACTAATCTCAGGCTATATACATAGCATCAGAGGCCCGACTCAAGTTGGATTCACACATTGGTGAAATCCATTTTTTTTTACTACCAGTTATGTGGGTGTAGCTTGGTGGGCATGGCATAGCATGGCATGGCATGGCTTGGTAGGCATGGCAGGGGAGGGATACTGCAAAATCTCCATTCCCACCCCACTCCAGGGGAAGGATATCGCAAAATCTCCATTCCCATCCCACTCCAGGGAAGGATACTGCAAAATCTTCATTCCCACCCCACTCCAGGGGGAAGGATATTACAAAAACTCCATTCCCACCCCACACTGGGGCCAGCCAGAGTTGGTATTTGCCGGTTCTCCGAACTGCTCAAAATTTCCGCTACCGGTTCTCCAGAACCTGTCAGAACCTGCTGGATTTCACTTCCGGTGTGAACTCATCCAGTTCAGGTTGTCACTAAATCATAAATAAAGAAAATCTAGGTTAACATCAACATGTAATATCTTGAACATAAGACCATCCTAAGACTTCCTTTCCTATTTCTTGTATTCAACCTCTAGAACAGGGGTCTTCAAACTAAGCATTTTTAAGACTTGTGGATTTCAACTCCCAAAATTCCTCAGGCAGTTTAACAAGTCCACAAGTGTTAAAATAGCTAAGTTTGGAGACCCCTGCTCTAGAAGAGTGGCCCAAAATGTCTGTAAAGATAAAGGTTCCCCTCGGACATCTGTGCTAGTCGTTCCCGACTCTAGGGGGCGGTGCTCATCTCCATTTCAAAGCCGAAGAGCCAGCGCTGTCCGAAGACGTCTCCATGGTCATGTGGCCGGCATGATTCAATGCCAAAGGTGCACGGAACGCTGTTACCTTCCCACCAAAGGTGGTCCCTATTTTTCTACGTGCATTTTTTACCTGCTTTCAAACTGCTAGGTTGGCAAAAGCTGGGACAAGTAACGGGAGCTCACCCCGTTACAAAGCGCTAGGGATTCGAACCACTGAACTGCTGATCTTTCAATCGACAAGCTCAGCATCTTAGCCACCGTGTCCCTTGAATATCTGTAGGAAGGCACTATTCAGGTGAGAAAGTCCTATTATTTCAGGAAGGGTTTTTGGCAGGGGAGTGGCAGCCTTCATTAATCTGGGCACCTCCAGATGTGCAGATCTTGGATTTCCAGCTTTTTCAGCAATGGCCATGTTTACTGGAGAATTCCAGAAGTCCAATCATCTGGAGGATAAACCCATTGGGGATAATTGAAGCCACCTTGCTCAACGAATTTCTAAAATAGCACCTACACGGTCTTTATAGAATATTACTTTTTTCTCCTTACAACTCTCTTGGTATTCTTGCTGGTGGTTCACTCACCATCTGGATCATGTATTTCTCATGACTTTGCATCAAAAGAAACTCTACCCAAATCACACCAATTGTTTTGAAAACATCAATAGGCAATCCACACGTGTGTTATGCACATCCTCTAGAGATACGATTTCTTGCATCTTTAATAGGCAGAAGAAACTGGTGGTCATACCACCCTCAGCACAGATACAGAGTTGAGATAACAAAGATATTGGCAGAAGTTCATCATGGAACCCCCCCCCCCCATCATGAATAGGTGTGAATGAAGCGGTCCAGAAATTCCACGAAAAGCAATGAAAAAGCAGTCCCTCATCAAAGTTCTTGTTCGGAGTCTTCAACGAGGATTTCATCCACTCTCATATCCGTTTCAGACACAGGGACCATATGGCACACTTGTTCTTGGAAAGCTAAGGCAATTGTGTACGGTTTTCCTTTTGGATGCTGCAGGCATCGTTGGAGGTAGGTATCATAATACCCTTTTCCTCTTCCCAGCCTGTTCCCCATTTTGTCAAAACCAAGTCCCGGCATCAGGATGAGATCTAGACCATCTGTGGAAGAGAAAGGAAATATCTTGGGGCGAAAGGACATCAAACAAACTTTTCATTTGTCAATTTTCGTTTTCTTCCTGATCTGCCCAAGAATTGAGGTGTATGTGGGGGGGTTTCCCAGTTTAAAAAGCTGAACTATGGTGCTGGAGAAGACTCCTGCGAGTCCCTTGGACTGCAAGGCGATCCAACTGGTCAGTCCTAGAGGAGATCAATCCTGACTGACTGCTCTTTAGGAGGCCAGATCCTGAAGATGAAATTCAAATACTTTGGCCACCTAATGAGAAGGAAGGACTCCCTGGAGAAGAGCCTAATGCTGGGAAAGATTGAGGGCAAAAGAAGAAGGGGACGGCAGAGAACGAGGTGGCTGGATGGAGTCACTGAAGCAGTCGGCATGAGCTTAAATGGACTCCAGAGGATGGTAGAGGACAGGAAGGCCTGGAGGAATGTTGTCCACGGGGTTGCAATGAGTCAGACGCGTCTTCTCAATTAACAACAACAACAATGCATTTCTTATCACCCTAATCATTAATACACCTATGTATTGCCCTCTCGAGAATAGAAAGCAAAATTAACACGAGGCCATATGAAAAGCAGAAAGCATAGTAAGACTGGGGGGGAAATGTTCTGTGTATTTGAGAACGCTTTGCTAAAAAGCCTCTGGCTGTAAAGCAAGATTGAACAGGCATTAGAAAAACTCCTAAGCAATTTTCTCTGGGAAGACCTTCTACAAAAGGAAAGGAAGCTGTGAAAAGCTCCTTTTCTGCCTGATGCTTGCTTTTATTGTATTAAAACTCACATACCAAAGATTATTAAGGCAAGTGGCTAAATATATGCAGACGTATTTGTATAGGAGGCATGCTGGTAACTGCAATTAACAAACATCAACAGATTATTATTATTTTTTTTAAAAAAAGGCACATAAACAACAAAACCCTCCTGGCAGACTTGCATATAGTAACAGCTAAATATCATCGTAAAACTATTTTTTTTTTCACATTTTGCTCTAATTTCTTTTTCTCTTTTGATTTTTGCACGCCGCTGCACAAAGGAGATGTCCCTCTTGTTTTCACTTTTTTTTTTTTTTTTGATTCCGTCTAAATAAGTTTCTCATCTCTAATGCCGAGGGTTTTTTTAAAGGGGAGAAGTTGGCAAAGTGAAGATAGCTGCAACAGCAAGCCATTTATCTCCCCCTCCAAGTTTTTTCACGGTAATAATTCCACAGTTGTTTTATTGAGTGTTCCATAAGATAAAATCTCAGTTTGTGCACTTAATATATATTTGTTTTTTTCCTGGGGGGGAGGGGGGAGGGTGGGAGGTGGGCTTGGCAAAGGGAAAGGAAACAGCTACAATTACTGAAGCATTTGTTTGGATGTCAGATAAAAATGGAATAAAGATTTAATTGCAGATCAACCCCCAGTTGAGAAACATCAAGCTCTCAGCATGGACCTGTCAGTATTATCAAGAGCCTTCTGGATGAAACCCTGAAATTGCAATTTAAACTGGTGAATTTTTTTTTTTTCCAGCTCGTGGAAGTGGTTTCTTCTTCCCGCTTTCACACTTGAAAGTAAATAGCTTGTTAAAAGATTGATTTTGTATGTAGTTAGTGATGAAGAGGCCAGAGAACATACCGTATAGCAATAGCAATAGCACTTAGACTTATATACCGCTTTATAGCGCTTTAGAGCCCTCTCTAAGCGGTTTACAGAGTCAGCCTCTTGCCCCCAGCAATCTGGGTCCTCATTTTATCCACCTCGGAAGGATGGAAGGCTGAGTCAACCTTGAGCCTGGTGAGACTCAAACTGCCAAATTGCAGTCAGCTGGCAGTCAGCAGAAGTAGCTGCACTCTAACCACTGCGCTAACGTGGCTAATATGTAAAAGTTTATCTCCAATAATCTGCAGATTCTTGGTTTCTACTTCCTTCCATTTAATATTAATGGGGAAAAAAATTAAAGAGGGTGGTGCCTTCAATGCAAGAGGAATTTTAGGCAGCCGAGGAAAGTTCAGTGTTGGAGAGATGACCAGGCTGAGCCTGAGAGAGGGGTCAAACACGTCGTAAGTCTTGAGTCCCTTTGCGCCAGTGGTGAAATCCATTTACCTTCGCTACCGGTTCAGGAATGAGAGCACACGGGAGTGCGCTATGCACATGCACGCCTCTTCTGCACATGTGCAGAAGAGCGCATGGACAGATGATTTAAAAAATGGGACATAATGACCGGGGAGATTTCACTGCTGCTTTGTACCCAAAAGATCTAAGTCCAACCCACCTTGAATTCAGTTGACTCTTATCTGCCATCAATTTGCTTTGACCATTAGTATTTCAGATTCTTGTAGAGAGTGTTAGCACACAATAAATCTATATTCACTGGTGGCACAGTGGTTAGAATGCAACATTGCAGGCTGACTCTGCCGACTGCAGGGAGTTTGATTCTGACCAGCTCAAAATGAGGACCTAGCTTGTTGGGGGCAATATGCTGACACTGTAAACTACTCTGTAAAGCACTATGGAGCAGTATGTAAGTCTAAGTGCTATTGCCCTTGCTCTTCCTTTGAACTATCTGTTGTGGCCCGGCAGCGGTCAGCGGAGCTGGTGGCAGACTCAGACAGTCAGGAGGTTGGGGAGGAACATGGGCCAGTCTTGGAGTCTGGGAAGGCTCTGATGAGTGCCCTGCGTCGAAGGCAGAGATGGGGCCAGGGCCATCCGACAGTCATCAGCTGCCTTTGGAGTCAGATATCAGTGGGGCAGAACAGCTGGAGCCTGTTCCTGAGGTGTGCATGCACAGAGCTGCCAGGAGAAGGGAACAGCTAAGGAACAAGGGTCGACTCAGGAGTAAAGCCACAGGTGGACGGTGAATGGCCCCTCCCATAGGGAATAAAGAGGAGTGAAGGGGAGTTTGCATGAGACAATTAGTTGGGGTAAATTAGACAATTCATTTGGGGTAAAGATCTGTTCCTGACTTCTTGCCAAATAATTGCTGCTGCTACAGCGTGGCATTTAGAAGATATCGGCCTGGCAACTCTCCAAGACTGATAAAGGTCTGTAGTTGTAAAATCTCATGAAAGACTGTTTGTCGGGACTTTGCTGGAGAGGAATTCCCTTTAACCTAAATAAAAGAGGTTTTATTGGGATGAGGAGTCTGCTCTTGGGAAGCCTAGTTCAGAACACGGCCTGGACTCCTGATTTCCAACAGTTATAGTAAACATTGCCACTAGATCAAATCTCCCTCCAGCACTTTCAATAAGGAAGGTCAACTCATCCACCCCTTGTGAAATTTCAAATAAATTCTCTAGCTCCCCAAGAATAAGGTAGGAAACCAGAATCTTCTTTCATGGGAAGAGGAAATTTGGAATAAATTCAATAGTCATGTTTCTGCCATCCTGCCCTCAAACCTCAAAGGGATGGGCTTTTGCCGCTCTTCCATCTGCTTTCAGAATTGATGCAGTTGTCCCTGCCAGGAAAAGCGAAGGTACAGGCTGGCATTCTGAACCTCTGCTGGATTTTTAAAGGCAACTATATGTAGGTCTGTTTTTTTCCCCTCACTATGGAGGAGGATTTGCCAAGGGGACATTTGAAACAAATGAGGCAGCACGAGTTAGAGCAGCCTATTGGAACAAACTTATCATCTTGCTTGGGCTGTGGGTTGGGTTTTTTTTTGTTTTTTTTAAATTGCAGCAGAGGAAAACTTTCGGAGCAAGAAAACAGAAAAAGTCCAACCGATCTGGCCGCCAGCGAGGTAGAAATGCAAGCTGAATGTATCAAAAATAATACGGAACTTAGGAAATGATTGGGCCATCTGGTTTGAAGATGATGAGGGACAAGAAGGCTCACCTGAGCGTTTTGGGAGGGAGGAAGGGGGGGAGGGGACTCACAGGAAAAGGGTTGAATGTTTTCTTTACTGAAAGAAGTACTGGAAGAGTTTTGCTATTTTCTTGTGTTTTTAAATTGAAAGAAGTATTGGCAGAATTTGCCATTTGTGTGTGTGTGTGTTTAATCTGGATTAAAGCAATCTGGGTTAAAGTTATTTAGGGGACGTGATGGCTCAGTGGCTAAGATGCTGAGCTTGTCAATCGAAAGGTCGGCAGCTCAGCGGTTTGAATCCCTAGTGCCGCGTAACCGGGTGAGCTCCCGTTACTTGTCCCAGCTTCTGCCAACCTAGCAGTTCGAAAGCAGATAAAAAAAGGCAAGTAGAAAAATAGGGACCACTTTTGGTGGGAAGGTAACAGCGTTCTGTGTGCCTTTGGCATTTAGTCATGCTGTCCACATGACCACGGAGACATCTTCGGACAGCGCTGGCTCTTCGGCTTTGAAACGGAGATGAGCACCGCCCCCTAGAGTTGGGAACGACCAGCACATATGTGTGAGGGGAACCTTTACCTTTTATTTTAGAAATACACTGTATTTGTTTTGCTTTTTCTACTTCAGAATGGCAAGAAATGATTCTGTTTGTTTATTTATAGTCCAATCTTGCCGTTTGGTTTGGATGCTTCAAATAAAACAAAAAAGCGTGAATTGAAAATAAATATGGAGGAATCTTTATAAAAAGAGGAAAACTGAAATATAAATAAAAGTAATGGCAGTAGCATCCCTTAAAGTTTAGTGCGATCCAGATTCCTGTGGATTTCAGTGGTTTCCCTCCATGTATCTTTCTTTTGCTTTTTCATTCAAAACAAGAATATATACTTTCTCCCAAGTATAACCAAGACTGCAAAAATGAACTCTTTAAATATTGGAATAGAAATGTATTTATTTAATACAACCAGGTTTGTGGCAGCACAGTGGTTAGAATGCAGTACTGCAGGATGACTCTGCCCACTGCCAGGAGTTCGATCCCAACCGGCTCAAGGTTGACTCAATCTTCCATCCTTCCGAGATCGATATAACGAGGACCCAGATTGTTGGGGTGCAATATGCTGATTCTGTAAACCGCTTAGAGGGGGTTGTAGAAACACTGTGAAGCGGTATATAAGTCTAAGTGTTGCTATTGAATGCAGGTGCAAAGAT